GACAGGAGGAGAGATAGAGAGGAAAAGCATGAAAGGGAGAGAGACAAGGAAAGACACAGAGATAAGGAGAAAGAGAGGGAAAGGGACAGAGAGAGATACAACAAGGAGGGGAGGGATAAAAGAGAGAGAGACAAGGAAAGGCAAAGAGAAGAAAGAGACAGAGAGCACAGAACTGACAGAAGGAGACACGAGAAGAGTGGGGAAGAAGGGAAAGCTCGGTTAGAAAAATATGACAGAGAGCAGAGAGACAGACACAAAAATGAACATGGAGAAAAGAAGAATGACAAAGAAAGACAAGAGAGACATGGAGACAGAAAGCATTCAGAATGGAAAGAGGAAAGAGGTAAAGATACAGTGCGCCATATTTACGGGATTGGGGTTTCCATATGATGTCAGTATTTTTATCTTCTGATTTCAGAGTACAAAGGAGAGCACAGAACACATAAAGAAGAGCGAGAAAGGAAACACAAAGAGAGAGGATATGACGTAAGTATGCACATTAATATTAGTTGTCCATCACTAATTTGTATTTTCAATAAAGGTAAATAATTCACTGAACATTTTTGCTTTACTTAGTATAAATTTGTGGCTTGTGTTTTTTTATTTATTTTTTTCCCCACATTTCCAGGATGAAAAGAGGAAGCATTACAATGAATCCAGGGAGCATCCAGATTTGAAGAGGTCAGGCGAAGAGGTCAGGCATCATCGTTCTGGCAGAGACCGAGGAGAATGGGACAAACGCAAAGAGAGAAGGCACAGAGAGGAAGAGGATCCAGAAAAGAAAGAGAGGGAGCTAAGGCACAGAGAGGAGGAGGAACCAGACAGCAATCACATAGACAGAACCAGCACCAAGAAATCATCGTCCGACAAAAGTCACAGGCATGAGACTAACACAACAGAGACAGAGGTTAGTAGTACAAATAAACTGCCCTTCATAACACAGCTCATAGTGCAGTATCTTTTAATAAATGAAGTCTTTATTCTGGTTGCACTAATTGTGTTTTTGTTTAGTCTGTGTGCAATCTACTGTTTGTACTGCTTGCTGTACTGTGCATACAAGTAGCCTGCATGCTTTACTGATTTATTTAAAGTATCTTTTTTATATATCATGTCTGCAGGTTGTCAGTGATGAAGTCTTGGTTGACCAGGAATATGAGGATGATTTTGAGGTAAAATAATGCAACTTTTTAATGTAATAGGGTATAATCTGTGATACTTAATTCTTGTGCTTTGCCTCATTTGTCATTATGTTTAATTTTTAAATGATAACATTTATTTACTTGTTTTCATGTTACTTTTGCATGCTGTAATCGGTTTATGTTCTAAGAAACTGGTGAGTATTCAGAGATTTCCTGAATGACTCCATTTTTCTTTTTATAGGATGTGATGTTTGTGCTCATAGCATCTTGGTAATTTTATTACTTTATTACTTTGCTTCAAATGGATTTCTCTCTTCTTTTTTTTTTTTACTTTGAAGGATTATGAAGATGATTTTGAGGAGATTGATGAGAGTACAAATGAAGGTGAGGACAAGAAGGAAACAGAGCTTCCAGAAATGGGAGAAGAGAGGGAAGAGCTTACACCACAGAGGAGAAAGGAGATCGAAGCAATTCAAAGAGCCATGGATGAAGAGAATGAGAGATCTGGAACGGCTCAGTCCAGGCAAAATACAAGCAGAGAGGAAGAAGACAAGCATAAACGGCACAGAGGTACAGTTTTAATTTATTCGTTATCTTTCTGTTATATTAATTGTAAGACAAGCATTTATTACAGGTGTATTTTGTTCAAAATTATGGGACTTATGCTATTTTTTATTACTATTTGTATAGACTCCGAAATGATCCAGAGTAGAGGCTCCCAACATGGGAGGTTTATTGACTTTGTTGCTGCGAAACAGCGTGAATTCAGCAAGAAAGTTGCCACAAAACAGAAGTAAGTTATCATGAGAAAAACATTTTCACATTTAATAGAGAATGCATCACTGTAAATTTTAATTTGCCAAGCATATGTTTAGTATAGCACAAAGATTTCCTTAATTGTACCTTCAGTGTTCTTTTTTTCTGTCCACAGAAAACGCAGTACAGAGCTTCTCCGCTTAATTGATCTGGATTTCTCCAGGACATTCTCCCTTTTGGATCTGCCACCTGTTAATGAATATGACATGTATATTAGAAACTTTGGAAATGCAAACACCAAGCAGGTTAGTATTCTTACATCACACAAAGATCTGTACCCAAATTATAGAAGAGAAACTCCATGTTTTCCCTTAAAACATAGTTATAGTTCATATTGCATAGTTCTAAATAAAACGTTTAAACTTTTTCTTTGTCAGGCTTATGTTCAGTGTAATGAGGATATTGCAGACCGAGACATTCAGACAGAGGAGATAGAGGTGTGTGAGAAATGGACACAGCATCCTCCAGAGCACAGTGGAGCATGTGGGGGTAAGGAAATGCCAAGATAACTCTGATAAACACAGTATGTATATGTAGATTTCTGAAATTGTGTTTTGTCTTGACAGATCCAAACTTCTCTCAGGAAGCACGAGACAAAACTATAACTGAACTGAACTTTGATTCACAGCGTCTGACAGCATTTCTGAGCTCAGCTTCACAGGTTATCTTTTGACTCATTAACTGTTATTTAATTTTTAAAGTTCTTAAGTCCTTGTTGTCAATACTGACTCCTGTTGTGTTTTGTGACCGAATCAAGGTCATGGTTGTCCTGTTGGAAGAGGATCAAGCTGAGAGAAACTCTCTGAGAAATCTGAGGACTCAAGCAGATATGACTTCTTTCAGTGAAGGAAGTTTACAGCTCAACACTACTCTGCCTTTTCTTTATGGTACACAGTCAGAGAATTGAACTTAGACATAATTACATTAGTATGGTAGGCCTTCTTGTGGGACACACACCTTTTTTGATTGTCAATTGCAGGTCGCCACATCAGCCTGGTGCACTTCTCTCAGGTCCAGAGGCACACCATGATGTCAGTCCACAAACCTACAATGAAGCCCAGCGCTGTCCGTCTTGACAGCTGCACCATCATCTGCATCTGGAACATCTGGGAACCATCCAGACCTCAGAAGATCCTTGTCTATGAATCTGAGGTGACATTTTTTGGGCTTCATTAGTTTCTGTTAGAGAAATCAGTTGAGTATATGGTCTTGGTAAATGGTCTTACACTTGTATAGCACTTTTCTATGCTTTACAGCACACTCAAAGCACTTTCACACTATTTGGCCATTCACCCATTTGCACTCACAAACGCTCACACATTCACACACTGGTGTTATCACCAGAAGCAACTGGGGGTTCAATGTCTTGCTCAAGGACACTTCGACATGTTGACTAGACAAGCCGGGAATTGAACCGCTAATCCTCCGGTTAGAAAACGACCCACTCTACCTCCTGAGCCACAGCTGCCCCCAAATCATTGCCTTTTAGGAAAAATTTGAAGTTTGTGTTGTTAACATTCAACCCAACACACATTATCTGTGGAAATACTATGTAAAAGTTTCACACTGAAC